TGTTTCTCCATCTGCACATATGTTATATAATCGTATCATTTCCTTGGGAATTTGCTTGCTAAGTTAAGAAATTTGCCCTACTTTTTATTCATCTCTTCAGCGAACCTACTTCTAGTTAGTCAACTATAACAACCAAACACTGGCTTCATCTCATCCATTCAAAACGTACATCAGCCAGTGTAATCTTCCATTAACTTGCTTCTGATTCATTGGCATTCAGTTGTACTGGCTGAAAATTTTGTTTCTTTTCTTCTGATTATTTAAAAATTGTTTGAAAAACTTCCAGTAGTGTATCTTCTTGATGTCATGTCATCAGAAACCATTAATTCATGACCAGTTTTATTCGCTATCTTTGATCTGTCATATAAGATCATGATACTTCAAATGATTTAGTTCAGGTAGCAAAATTACTCATTCTTTTATTTCATATGTTGTAGAATGACTACTCTAATTGTTCTATTATGATAATTTATTGTTTTACTTTTGATGATGCTTGCAGCTACTGGAAGGATTGGAAAGCTCTTTAACCATTTCAAAGATACCCATCTTTTCGCATGATAAAAGTTCGAAAGCTCTGCATAAAGGTTCAAGAGGTAAGCCCTCTCTCTAGTCTCTATGGAAGTATGCATTGTCACAGATTTAATAATTTGTGCAATTAATTTTGTGTTGAAACAGGGAATACTCGTGGTTGATTGGAGCTCAGTCTTGATGTCACATAGTCTTTGTGATGTCCTGTGTGACAGAATACAAGGTTCAGTAGTTTAGAATTTTGTACATAAAATACAGATATAGCCTTTTAGGGGATGAAATTTGGAAGTTTGATCTCTCGTTGTCAGATGTAAGACGTTATATGCTTTCTAACTAAGTTATCATCGTGGCATCATCATGGTTTTCTATTCCTCTTACTTTCTGTTCTTGATATGACTTATTTTGTTCTCGTATTAGCTAACAATATAGTTTAGGGGCCGTGGATTAGTATTTTTTTTACAGGATTTATCTGTATGGTTCAAAACTTCCCGTGAGCCCAAGGCTTTCTTCATGATGTATATTCACTGCTTAATCTGGTGTGTATTACATCAGCTCATGTTTGTTTGTGCATTCAATTCTTATCTTAGTTTTTTCGTTATGCTGGATTTTATCTCATGTTAAACTCTTACTCATGCTTTGCCTTTCATTTTGCTTCAGGATGAGTTCAATCCATCTTGGTCAGCGGGTGCTTGGTTGCCGTGGGTGGGTAATAGTTTCAAAACATTACTAGTTCCTACTCTGTGGAACATGACTAATTTTCTTGCTGTTCTACTCTGGTTACCAGCTAATGTTTTATATCAGAAGAGTATGGGTTCAAATATTGAAAGAGCAGCTGTATTCTGTTGTGCAGTTCGAAATGTTAGCCTGATTGCCTTCCTTGAATTTAGTGTGGTTTATTAGGCACCTTCTGCGAGACGGATGCTTAAGTGTTTAAATTAATGTCCTTTCCCAGCTTTTAAGCAGGTCTAGAATTGACATATTTACTGTTTACTGAAATGGTCTACTTCTTCTTTGCAAGCATTTTGAGCTGATACATGAATGAAGACCTATGCTTTCTGTTAAGTTAAATATTGGGTATTGGGTTAATGGGCTGTTACCCGTTAATCTTAACCCTATTTGTATGGCTATATATATCTCTCTTGTTAATCTTAATGGGCTGTTACCCGTTAATGGGCTGTTACCTGTTAATCTTAATGGGCTGTTACCCGTTAATGGGCTGTTACCCGTTAATCTCAATAAACTATTAGGGTTTTCTCTATTTTTTACATGGTATTAGAGCATGAAACCCTAGCCGTCACAAATCTTCATTCAAAAATCCCTAGCCGCCGCCTGCTGCTACAGTACCGCCGCCTGTTGCTACAGTACCGTTGCTGCTACAGTATCGCCGTCGCTATAGTGTCGTGCTACAGTGCCCCCCTACACCGTGTTGCCTATTCCCTCGACATCTCAGTCTTCGAACTGATGAGAGGACGATTGTATCCCTTAACATTTCAGTCATAGAACTGATAAGAGGAAGCCTTGACATTTCAGTCGTAGAACTGATGAGAGGAAGAGTGTCTATCTCACGTTGTTGAGATATTTCATTTTTATTCTTGTTTCCTTCGAGAAACAAGAATATAGAAATTGAGCCTTTGTGCAAACAAAAACCAGGGTTCTCTCCCTCAGGTGATCTCGCCTACGCAGCGTGAGGGCATGACTATCTACCACGCTGCCTCTAATCCTGCTCCTGATCTGCTCTTAGTTTATGTTTCGAAAACGGATCTCTACTACTAATCTGCCTATTTGACTACTATTTGTCTCCTATTGTTGCTCAAAAATAAAAATGACTACTACTTCGATGTCGGACATCTCCTCCTCTACTACTCCTTCTATTGTTGCTGGTGAGACCTCTGCGCCCAAGGTAGTCTTGGGGACTACTATTAAATTGAATGGTGCAAACTATCTGCTCTGGGCATAAGCTTTCCGCATCTTCATTGGCGCTCAAAGCAAACTACCACATCTTCTTGCATCTCCACCACCAACCTCAGATCCCACCTACAATTCATGGCTCTCATCTGATTATTGTGTTATGACTTGGCTTCTCAACAGTATGGAAGCACAGATCAGTAGCAGCGTTATGTTTTTAACCACTGCGAAGGATATGTGGGACAGCCTAAAGATTATGTACGGGAACGAGAAGAACGTTTCTTGTGTATTTGAAATTTATGAACGACTGTTTGCGCTCAAACAAGGAGATAAGTCAGTTCCGGAATTCTTTGGTGAATTGAAGGGACTGATAGACAAACTAGAGATGCATCAGCCTGCAGTAGCTGATGCAGCGACGCTATTAGGGTATCGTCGTGATCTGGCAGTATCCAAATTTTTTTCTGGGTTGAACCCTAATTTACAGTCCCAGGTGAGAGGACAGATATTAGGTGGAGATACAATTCCCTCACTGACTGCTACATTCTCCAGAGTCATGCAGGTCTCTACTGGTGTTACTTCTGATACTACTACACCATCTCCACCTACGATGGATCAGTCTGCCATGTTCTCTAATCGAGGCAAAGGTCGCGGTCGTGGTCGTGGTCGTGGCCATGATTCAGGGGGAGGACGTGGTTCCTTTGGTGGGAGGTAAGGTGAATCTGATAAGGGCTCACGACAGTGTGATCATTGTGGGAGAACCAATCATATTTCTGAGAAGTGCTGGGAGAAGTTTGGTCGTCCTCAGTGGGCCCAGGTAGCTGATACAGAGTCGACTAACTCATCTATTTCTGCTACTACTTCTGGTGGTCCAGCTATTACTGCTCCTACTGTTCAGATTTCTCAGGCAGATTATGAGAGGTTGCGCCAGCTAGAACTCTCTCAGAATATTCATTCTGCTACTCATGCATCCTCTTCAGGTATGGATGCTTACATAGCTTCTTCTCACAAACCCTGGGTACTAGATTCTGGAGCCTCATCTCATATGACAGGTATAAAGGATCACTTTGTATCTTTACATCTTTCTGATAAGTTTCCTTCTATCCGCATTGTTGATGGTACTCTTTCTCTGGTTCGTGGTGATGGAGTAGTTCATGCTGCTTCCTCTTTAAAATTAACTGATGTGTTATATGTTCCCAAATTCCCTGTTAGCCTATTATCCATTAGCAAGTTTACAAAACAAAATAATTGTAAAGTCACATTCTTTCCATCTTATTGTGTTTTTCAGGACCTAGTAACTAGGATGAAGATTGGTTCGGGGCATGAGAGAGGAGGTATGTACTATTTGGACGACAGTGTGCCAGAAGCTGGCCTTGTTGCATCACAGTCTGACTCCACTTTATTGTGGCACTGGCGTCTGGGTCATCCTTCACTACAAAAACTTAGATCGGTAGTTTCTGTTCCTCTTTAGGTTGTGAGTCGTGTGAACTGGGTAAGCACCATCGTGCTACTTTTCAGAGTCGAGTCGATAAACGTAGTAGTTTTGCTTTTGAGTTGGTTCATTCCGATGTCTGGGGTCCTTATCGTGTTCCCTCTGTGCAAGGTTTTCGATATTTTATTATCTTTATTGATGATTTCTCTCGCATGACGTGGCTTTATCTGTTAAAAGAGAGGTCAGAGGTCTCGCACGTTATTGAACTCTTTTATAATGAAATAAAAACTCAGTTCTCTACTTCTGTTCGTATTCTTCGTACTGATAATGCTTTGGAATATATGAAAAGTGATGTTTCAAAATTTTGTGCTCTTAATGGCATTATTCATCAGACTTCTTGCTCTCACACTTCACAACAAAATGGAGTTGCTGAAAGGAAGCATAGGCATATTCTAGATGTTGCTAGAACACTGATGATACATATGAATATTCCAAAGTATTTGTCGTCTGATGCTGTTCTCACTGCAAATTATTTGATTAATCACATGCCTTCCTCTGTCCTTGATGGTTTAATACCATTCAATTGTCTTTATCCCGATAAAAAACAATTCTCTGTGATTCCCCGTGTCTTTGGTTCTACGTGTTTTGTTCAGGATTTAACTGCTGGTTTGGATAAGTTGTCATCTAGATCCATCAAATGTGTTTTTGTTGGATACTCTCGTACTCAAAAAGGATATAGGTGTTATCATCCGTCCACCAGGGTCCATCTCATGTTGAGACCTCTATTCCTTCTGACTTGGATATCCCTATTGCTCTTCGAAAAGGTAAACGTTCTTTCCCGAAATATCCTATATCTTTTTTGTCTCTTATGACCGTCTCAACCCATCTTTTCGTCAGTTTGCCTTGTCCTTGTCCACTGTATCTATATCTAGGTCATATGAGGAAGCTATGTTGGTACCAGCTTGGAAGCAGGCCATGGATGAGGAAATGAATGCATTACTTTCTAGAGGGACTTGGGACTTTGTTTCTCTTCCTACTAGAGCGACTGTGGTTGGTTGCAGATGGGTGTATACCCTAAAATATCGCCCCAATGGGTCTGTTGACCGTTATAAAGCTCGCCTGGTTGCGAAAGGCTATACCCAGACATATGGCGTCGACTATTTTGAAACCTTTTCTCCCGTTGCTCGTCTCAATTCCATCAGAATTCTTTTCTCTCTGGCTGTTAATATGGATTGGGCGATGCACCAACTAGATGTGAAGAATGCTTTCCTTTATGGTGATTTGGACGAGGAGGTTTATATGGAGCAACCTCCTAGGTATGTTGCTCAGTGGGAGAATATTATCTGCAGGCTGAGAAAGGCCATCTATGGGTTAAAGCAAAGTCCTCGAGCTTGGTTTGATAAGTTCAACAAGGTTATTTCTAATGTTGGTTTCCAACGTTGTCAGTCTGATCACTCTGTCTTTCTTCGACGCACAACAACTGGTTTGGTTATTTTAGCCGTATATGTTGATGATATTCTGCTGACTGGGAGTGACTCTGTTGCCTTAGCTGAGACTAAGGAGTATCTAAACCGTCATTTTGTCACTAAGGACATGGGAAAGCCAAAGTATTTTCTTGGGATTGAAGTTGCATATAAAAAACATGGCCTGTTGTTGTCCCAAAGGAAGTATGTGCTAGATTTACTAGAAGAAGCAGGTCTCTTGGAATACAAACCTGCAAGCACTCCAATGGAGGCAAATGTTGATTTGTGGCGTGATGATACCTCTCTCCTAGATGATGCTGGACGATATAGGAGACTAATTGGGAAACTAATATATTAGACAGTTATCAGACCTGATATTACTTTTACAGTAGGTGTATTGAGCAGGTTTATGCACAAACCTAGAGAGGTTCATTGGACAGCAGCTCTGAAGATTTTGGCATATGTCAAGAGTTGCCCTAGCAAAGGATTGTTATATAAGAAGCATGAGCATACTCACATTTCGGCTTTCTCTGATGCTGGCTACGCAGGAGACATGGGAGACCGGAAGTCA